CTTTCTTTCTTTCTTTCTTTCTTTCTTTCTTTCTCTTTCTCTCTTTCTTTCCTCTTTCTTTTTTAAACAAAAACAGTCTTACTTTATTTTCTTTTTGTCTTTTTGAGACAGTCTCCCTGTAGCCCCAGCTGCCCTGGAACTCACTATGTAGACCAGGCTGGCCTTGAACTCGCAGAGATTCACCTGCCTCTGCCTCCCAAGTGCTGGATTAAAGGCATGTGCTACCACACCCAGCAAGAAGTCTTACTTTATTGTTCATCCCTGACTGACCTGGAACTTACTGTGTAGGCCAAACTGGTCTGAAACTCATAAGTTACAGAGATCCGCCTTCCTCTTTCTCTCCTGAGTGCTAGGAAAGGTGTATACTACCACGACCAGCCTTCTGGAAGAGCTTTTAAAACAATAAAACCATTTATTTATTTTAGGAGTAGAGCATGTACCACCTGTGGAGGTCAGAGCACGATTTACAAGACTCCTTCCACCATGTGGGTCCTGGGGATTGCATTCATCAGGCTTGGTGGCAGGTACCTTTTATCTGCTGAGCCATTCTGCCATCCCTGTTTCTGAGAGTGCTTTAAGACAAATCTTACAGCCAGATGTGTTGACTAATGTCTGTTATCCCAGTACTCAGAAAGCTGAGGTAGTAAGATTGCTTGGGTTTCAGAAACAGAACAAAAAAAAAATCTTACATTACTAGGCATGCTAATGCATGCCTATAAATCCCAACACTTAGGAGCACAGGCACCATGTAGGAAGCTAGCCTATTCTACCTGATGAGTTCCAGGTCAGCCATTGCAAACTAGCAAAACCCTGTCTCAAATCAAACAAAACAAAAAACAGCTAGTGGTGAGATGGCTCAATGGCTAAAAGCACTTTCTATATTAGCCTGATGTGACCTACGTTCAGTCTGTGGAACCTATGTAAAGGTAGGAGAGAACTGACTCCACAAAGTTGTCCTCCCTCACTAATAAAAAAGCTCAATTTTTGAGTTTTTTACTTTTTTAAAAAAATTTATGTGTATGAGTATATTGCTTGCATGTATTTAAGTATACCTTTGAGAGCAACCAGTGCTCTTAACCACTGAGCCATCTCTCCAGCCCCAGGTTTTTTAGGTTTTTAAAGATGGTCTCATAGCCCAGGCAGGCCTGGAACTTACTATATAGATATAGAGCAGTCCAGCCTCAAACTTGAGGTCCTAAAGGATTGAGCTAATAGGGGTGAGACACTATGCACAGTAAAAAGCTAAATCTTATATCAAAGAAAGGGAAGTAGCATTGGCAACGGGTGATACAGTAATGCAGAGATGTGTGTAGATTGAAAGCAACTGAGCACAAGGAAAGCCCTGGGCATTTCCGAGGGTTCCAATATTTGTGATGTCCACAGAAATGAAAATTGCTGATGGGGTTGCTGCCTGACTCCTCTGACCCTGCTCACTTTCACCAGACTTACTTGATTTTACTACCATGGGTGGGAGTACTAGAGCTGAATATTCTAATGAATAGATCAGAATTAAATGACCTCCCTATAATTCCTAGATCAGAGTTGCCTCCAAAACTGCTACCACTAAATATATCTCAGGCCTTGGAAATGGCTTTGGAACAAAAGGAACTAGACCAGGAACTTGGAGCAGGTAAGCAGATCTTTAATAGGACATAAGTGGCAGTCGGGTGCGGGGAATGGAAAGATTCTTGACTGTTTCTTTGCCCAGGGCTTGACAGAAGTCTGATTTGGACTGGTTCCAGCTGCCAGAACCCAGGATGTGATGCTGTGAGTGAGAGTCTAGGGTAGGATGGAAACCTCAAGCATGCATCTGGGTATAGGCATGAATTTGAATGACCTGATTATTTTCATGATTTTCCTTTCTCCTTGTTAGGTTTACCAAGGTCCTGAGAGTGATGCTGCTCCATGTACCTACCATCCAGGAGCACCTCGATTCCATGAGGGGTAAGGGAGGGGACTGGGTAGGCTGTGAGACACATTTCTCCCAATATCCATGAGAGTAGGGGCTTGGGTGGAGGGGAGGAGGGGGTATTCAGGTGAATTATCTTCCTCAGGATGAAGTCTTGGAGCTGCTGTGGTATCCAGACCCTGGATTTTGGGGCATTCCTGGCACAGCCAGGATGCAGAGTTGGTAGACATGACTGGGGCAAACAGGTAAGCCCCACCTTTCTTAAACTCTTGATTAGAAAGAACCCAATTCCAGAGATAAACTTTTTTCCTTGTATCTCATGTCCAACCTCCTTTTTCTTTTTTAAAAAAATTTTTATGTGTATGAGTGTATTGCCTGCATGTATGTAAGTGCACCCATGTAGTGCAATGCCCATGGAGGTGAGAAGAGGGTGTCGGATTCCTCTGGAACTGGAGATATGGATGGTTGATAGCTGCAATATGGGTGCTGGGAATCAAACCCTGGTCCTCTGCAAGAGCAGCTAGTGTTCTTAACCAGTGAGCCATCCTATTTTCTTTCAGTATGAATCGAATAAGATTCGGCCCTTTATCCCTCTTATAGCCTAGAACCTTGGCCATATGAAACAATGTTAATCCTTCTGGGACTTCTTATGACTTTACACAGCTCATATGAACTCCAGTTAGATTAAGAGTTGATTCTTACTAGCCGGGCGTGGTGGTGCATGCCAGCACCAGCATTCAGGAGGTAGAGACAGGTGGATCTCTCCAAGATCGAAGTCAGCCTGGTCTACATAGCGAGTTCCAGGTCAGCTGAGGCTACAGGGAGACTGTCTCAAAAAAATTCTTACTATCCCCATTTCACATCACTTTAGCTGCCAGCATCTTGTCGCCATGATTGGCATCAGACAGATTCCTTGGTAGTACTGACTGTGTATGGCCAGATTCCACTTCCTGCTTTCAACTGGGTGAAGGCCAGTCAAACTGAGGTAAGGAAGGCTCAAGATGGGAGGCTAGTGAATTGGTGATAGTACAATCTTAATCTTACAGGCAGAACTCCTGTATGCTGTCAGCCTTTAGACTTCATATTCCCCTGAGAGGAAGGGAGCGCTGTTACATCAGGACTGTCTGACTGGCCTGCAGTTCTCACCTCTGGCCTGATTCTGTCATAATGACTTTTTCTGACCTTCTGGAATTGATATTATGCTTGTAATTCCTTTCTCTCAGATTCATGTTCACATTGTCTTTGATGGTAACCGTGTGTTTCAAGAACAGATGAAGCTCTGGGGGGTAAGTGAAGAGAAGCAGAAAGAGAAGGAGGGAGGTGGATAGAATAAAAGAAGGGCCAAACTTGAGTGAGTAGAGGATATGTGTGAGGGAAAGAGTTGTAGTGGGAGAGGAGAAGGTTTCTCTTAATTTGCTTTGGTTTTCCCTCCTTCTTCCACTCCTCTCCCCTTTCCTTCCCTCTGTCCTTCTCCCTCTTTCCCTTTCCTATTTCTTTCCTCTGTGCCTTCCCCTTTCTTGTTTTGCTGTTTCTTACTCATTACTACTCCAGTCTCAACCCTGTGATTTCTTCATTATCTCTGTCTTTCCCTCTTCCTCAGGTCATAAACGTGGAGCAGAGCTCTGTCTCCTTGATGCCATCACGGGTTGAAATCTCCCTGGTCAAGGCTGACCCAGGATCCTGGGCCCAGCTGGAACACCCTAATGCACTAGCTGAGAAAGCTAGGGCAGGAGTTTTGTTAGAGATGGATGAGGAAGAATGTGAGGATTCAGATGATGATCTGAGCTGGACAGAGGAAGAGGAGGAAGAGGAGGAAGAGGAGGAAGCTATGGGAGAATAGTAACCCCAGACAGTTGAATTTCTAGGTCAGCCCTCAATGACCTCCTTATAATCTCAGAGACCAGGATATGGTTGACCATGTGTGTCACTGAGCAGCAGGAAGCTGAAGGAGGAAAGAACAAAACTGCCCAAACCATGCTGCTTTTCTCCTAAATAAACCTTATATTCTGCAGTTTCACATAGTGTCATTCTCTCACCTCACCATGTAACATTGCATTCATTCCCTCCACTTAGCTGTGTTTGACACACTTGTGAAAATAAGCACGTGCACATGCCTTCTGTTCCTCACAGCCACCAGGCATTTACTGAATGTTTCCTGTGTATTCACTTATGTGTTTGGTGGTTTAGAGATAGCTGAGAAACAGACTTGTTCATTTCTATGAAGAAAAAGACCTGAGCTGGACATAGTGGTACATACCTGTAATCCCACCATAAGGAGGATCAGGAGTTCTAGGTCGTCCTCAGCTACATAGTAAGTTGGAAGTTATTGTGGACTACATGAGACTTTGTCTCACAACACCTCCCTCAATAAATGAACAAAAAGGAAAAAGGAAGTGACATTCTAATCTGGGTACAGTGGCTCATGCCTCTATCATGCCTCTTAATTGCAGCATATGAAAGTCTGAAGATTGCCATGAGTTTGAGGCCAGCTGACTACATTGTGAGTTCTAGGTCATCCTGGACTAGATTCATCTCAACAAATAAAGATATTCTAGCTAGTGTGTGGTGGCTTGTTCCTATAATTCCAGCACTCAGGAGGCTAAGGCAGGAGGATTGCAAGTACAAGATCAGCTTGGGCTACGTAGTAAGTTTCAGGCCATCCTGTATGACACAGTGAGACGAAAAGGAAAAAAAGGAAAAGGAACATAAGAAAGGAAAGATGGGTTAAGGCAAATCTATATGAATCAATAGTAAACATCAGGTGGTGGTACAGTGGGTAGTAGTAGCAGTATTCTTTTTTTTTATTTTTTTTCTTTTGTTTTCAGTGTCTTTTTAAAGAGAGGCAAGAATAAAAAGAATGGAGAAGCTGATTGTGGATTTTAGTGAGGGAAGGATCCATGGAAGAAGTGCAATATTTTCAGAGCTGAGGATTGAACTGAAGGACTCAAACTTGCTAGGCAAACACTCTACCACTAAGCTAAACCCCCAACCCCAAGAAGTACATTTTTTAACTACTCTTTTTGCAGTGCTGGAGAGTAAACTGAAGGTCTCACACATGCTAGGCAAGTGCTCTGCCACTGAGTTACATTCCCATCCCTTATACATTTATCAAGATATATTTCACATACCACACAGTTCAAGTATAATCAGGTACAGCCATAATTTTAGGACATTGCTATCCCTCTCCACAGAAACCCCATATCCATTAGCAGTCATTCTTGGTTTTCCCCTAAATACAGAGCCCTAGACAATAACTAATTTACTTTCTATTTTTATGAATTTACTTATTCTGGCCATTTCATATAAACGGTAGTCATATAAAACATTGTCTTTAAAATTTTTTTATTTATGTGTATCAGTGTTTTACCTACATATATAAGTGCACCATGTGTGTGCAATGGCCACGGAAGTCAGAAGAGGGTGTTGGATCCCCTGGAACTGGAGTTTCGGTGATTGTGAGCCACCACATGGGTGTTGGGAACTGAACCTAGGTCCTCTGCTGAGTCATCTCTCTTACACCAAAATGTGGTCTTTTGTGACTGGCTTCTTTTACTAAGGATTATCAAAGTTGGTCCATATTTGGGCATATAAATAGGTATGATGGGACATTCTTATAATCCTAGCACTCATGAGGCAGAGGCAAGAAGATCATGACAAGTTGGAGGACATTCTGGTTTACATAGCAAGTTCTAGGCCAGGTGAAGCTACATAGTGAGATCCAGTGTCAAAACAACAATAAAACAGCATGTATCAGTACTCTATTCCTTTTTATAGCTGAATAATAGATAGTCCAGTATGTGCACATACTACATAATGTTTATTCATCAGTTCATGGACATTTGAGTTGCTTCTACCTTTGGTCATTATGAATAAGGCATCTATAAACATGTTTTAAGTTTTTCTTTAAACGTGGTTTTATTTCTCTTAGATTTTTACTGAGGAATATAATTTCCAATATTGAACCTTTTAGGAACTGACCAGCCTAACCAGACCAAGAAGCCCCTTGATCAGTGACATCTTACACTGATGTAAGACTTTTCTAAGCTACTCTATGTCTCTGATGGCCTGATCTTTAACTTCAATGGGACCTCCATCCACTGCAACTCTCACTTCCTCCAGATCAAGACATTATCCTGGGCGTACTCAACCCTGCCCCCCACTCCACACTTCCCCACCCCCTGCAGCCACTTCAGTGTTACTGTCTCTGGGTATCCTTCGTCCACTGTCCTCTCTGCTTTCTGCTCCCAAAAAGTCCCAAGTCATTGCTAGAGGGAGAATCAGGCAGACAAATATAAAGTCATGCTGTCCAGTTTCAACTTGGCCCTTGCAGCTGCTCAGCAACCCTTTATTTGTGTCATACATTCCCTGGCACTCTCCCACAGGGCTCTTCAGACCTTCCTTCTGAAACTACAAACTCCTATCTCACTACTACTTCAAAAGACTCTACGAGGTACTTTCATTGGATTAACTGTTCCTTCTGCAGCAAATTAGTAAAATCTTTCTCCCTTCTAGCCCTTCCCTTAATCCATCCAGTTCCCTTCCTGGGAAAGCAATCACTTATTTCTTTCATTTATTCTTCCTTAGATATTTTATGACCCTATTAGCAAAACTATGGAAGCAAGGGAACTTATATTTGCATTGGTTGCTATATGTGAGGAGAAAGGGAGATATTCCGACTGAGGAATCATCCTGGGCAGAGGCACAGAGCAGGGATGAATAAGGTATATTTAGAAACCAGGGATAGTGAGTAGAGTAATCCCCTGAGCAATAATCCCAGCTGCTGCCTCAACTGCTACTTCTCCTTTGCCAGTTCTGACTTCAACCTGATTGCTTCCTTGCCTGGCCTGATCTACATACCAGCTGTGTGGAAACCAGACACTACCAGGCCCTCAACCATCCTATCGTCCCTGGACCTCTGTTACTATTTTTTGATCTTTGACCCCAACCATCTGTTTCAATCCTGCTGAAGAGGTCCCAGCTCCTTCCTGAGTCACTCTCCAAGCAAGTGAGTGCTCTTTCATTTCCTTTGTCACATGGGCAGTTTCTCTATATCACTATACAGGGCAATGAGTATAAAAATTGTACTCTTAGGATTTTATTGGTATTTATCAGTAGGTCAAAAGAGGTCAAAACAACAGGTTAAACTATGTAGCAGTGATGCAGTCAGCAAAGTTCAGGCTGCAAAACTACTGAGAAACAGTCCAATTTCTTCTGTTAAGAACATTGCAAGGAAGATGAGTGTAATGATGCACACCTGTAACCCCAGCGCTCAAGAGACTGAGGCAGAAGAACAAGCTAAAAGCCAGCATGGGTTAATAATGAGTTCAGGGTCACCCTGAGCTACATAGTGAGACTCCAAAAATAATTGCAAGAAAAAAAATGAGGAGGGGCTGGAGAGATGGCTCAGCGGTTAAGAGTACTGACTGCTCTTGCAGAGGACCAGGGTTCAATTACCAGCACCCACATAACTCCAGTTCCGGGGGAATCTGAAACCCTCTTCTGACCTCTGTGGCATAGCATGACACGGGTGCACTCACATACATGTAGGCAATACATTCATACACATAAAATAAAAATAATAAAATTTAAAAAAGAATATGAGCCTTTAATTTTTTTTGATCTTTTTGAAACAAGATCTCTCTGTAGCCCCAGCTGAACTGGAACTCACTATGTAGACCAGGCTGGCCTTGAGCTCACAGAGATCCACCTGCCTCTGCCTCCCAAGTGCTGGAACTACAGGCGTGTGCCACCATGCCCAGCCATGAGCCTTTAACAGTGACATATGGTACTGTAAACTTGGTCAAAAGCCCATGGCTGGGGAGGTCATAGGCCCTAGTGGGGAAACTACCTGCAACTGTTCCGTTAAATGGACATGTTGTGCCCATTAAATTGCCTTCAAAATAACTATGTTTATGCCACAGATGAGTGATGCTCTCAACTTTGGTCATAGAAATTTCTCTTTGCAGTCCTCAGTGGTGATTGCAGAGACTCATAACTGGTCAGAGTGCCGAGAATAAGTGACTATTGACTGCCTTGCCATAAATGGGACTGGTATCTATATCACCCCCCTCCAAGGCTCAGAAAACATTGCAGGAGATGGAAAGGATGGAAGAGGGAGGGTGGGAGAATGCTAACTTCCTGGCATAACATGGCTGTTGCATGCTTAACTCAAGCAGCTCAATTACCTGCACAATATCTGTACAAGAGTGAGCCTGTCATGGAAGGGAGAGGGGCTTATGGTCCCTATCCCTCCCTGGGGAATTTTATGTGGTTAAGGGTTGATGAGGGATGGAGAGGCATTTTCTTTAGGGACGAAGCCACTGGTAAGGTGCCCATGCTTCTGTAAACAAACCTAATGTAATTCATTGGGTCACAAAAATAAAAACATGAAAGTAGAAAGTGGGTTAGTTGCAAAGAGGGAGGAGATTAATTAGCAGGAGTGGAAGACAACAGATGGTAATGGATATGTGTGAAAAAGATCGAAACATTATGTACATGTATGAACTGTCATAATGAAGCACATTATTATGTATAATTAATATATGTTAATAAAAATATTTAAAAAGTAAAGTTACGTACAATACCTATCCACCAATCACAAGGTCTGCCTTTATTTGGATAATGAAACAAAAAGCTGTAATTATTTTAAATTTATGAAACTATTGGAAACTTAAATCCCGATTTGGCATTTGATATTATTTATTTTATGTGTGGTAATGGTATTTTTCCTTTTTAGAGACACACATTAGAATAATACATTGTCTTGGATTTGCTCCAAAATAATATGAGAAAAGAAATGGTTGAAAAGATATTTGAAACAAGATTGCCCAAGTATTGATACTACTTCCCAGTTAGTGCTTGGTAAATGATTTGTAATGCTGTTCTGCCTACTTTTGTCCATGCTGTAAATTCTCCACAGTAAAGTTTTCTAACAGTGTTGTAGAATTCTAAGCATCTGATGAAAGTGTATATATTAATTTGAAAGAGTAGAACAGGAGAAGCTGGGATTTAAGATGC